TGCGTCACCAAAAATGATTGAGGTCATGTACATATATTGCGTGATAAGTAGATATATTGATTATTGCCACATGCCTAATTGTAACCCTATAGTAATGTAAAGGGGCTACTATAGTTTAGAGCATAAGCTGAGGTAGATTTTTATCCCTAGTTAATTTTTTATTATAATTTAATTTATTTTAAAAAAAGAGCTATTTGCTCAGTAAACCACTGCTTATTTAAAAAAAAAAAAGAAGCAATTTTATGTTTAGATTTCCCCCCCTGCTATACCGAAATCAAACCGAACTGCAAAAAAGGAGAAGAAATAAGCACAAGGAAATAATATATATATACTCTTTTGCTGTTCCCGTTTCCTTGCATATATATGTTGTCTGTGAACAATCAGAAACAAGCATTAATGTCGCCTGGAGCTCTGGGGTGCCTTCCCGCTGGTGTCTCTTCTCCTGGCTTTTAAGGCCAGCGGGAACGAGCTCCAGGTGCGCCACTCATCGCACACAGGTGTTGTGCGTCGGTGATCAGTGTGGCAGCGGCTTTTCCAGGGTGACGCTAATCTGGACTCGGGATACTCGCCATTATATATATATATATTTTTTTTATTATTTTTTATTATATATATATATATATATATATATAAATGAAAGTCTCTCAGTGTGTGTTGTATGTGTGTGTGTATCTTAATGGCACTCATACAGTGCAGTATTGTAGTCCTACTTAGGACATATTTTACAGCTAAGCCCGATTGAGGTGGCCCTTGTGCCATAGTACACCCATTAATGGGCTCCTGATGAGTCCCTGCTGTGTAAATTACATAACCGATGATTGCACAGCTCAACCGTCCCAGCAGTTCTGTCCCTTCCTGTATATTAACATGGAAGTGTTTTTCGCTGTGATTGTACTTTAGAGAGAGAAAGGAATGTTTGGCACCACTTTAGAATAAGGACCAATTCTCACTATTAACTAGTTGGTTATTAGCATGCCTGTTATTAACATATGTGACCCTGGACCACAAAACCAGTCTTAAGTCGCTGGGGTATATTTGTAGCAATAGCCAAAAATACATTGTATGGGTCAAAATTATTGATTATTATTTACTTTTATGCTAAAAATCATTAGGATATTAAGTAAAGATCATGTTTCATGAAGATATTTTGTAAATTTCCTACTGTAAATATATAATAACTTAATTTTTGATTAGTAATATGCATTGCTAAGAACTTTTTAAGATTTTCTCAATATTTTGATTTTTTTGCACCCTCAGATTCCAGATTTTCAAATAGTTGTATCTCGGCCAACTATTGTCCTATCCTAACAAACCATACATCAATGCAAAGCTTATTTATTCAGTGATAAAAAATGACTGGTTTTGTGGTCCAGGGCACATATTGGCTGTTTATTTAATACTTACAAAGCACATATTCTACATGACAATATTCTACATCCCTAATACCTTAACTTAACAGCTACCTTACTTACTATTAATAAGCAGCAGCAAATTGGGTGTTTATTGGGGGAAAAGTCATAGTTAATGATTTGTTAATAGCGAGAACTGGAGCTTAAAATAAAGTATGACCAAATGTTTTGATACCACTCGAAGATTCATTCCCTATTCTGTTTTTCGTTTTATTTCATTTATTTTCAGGTAATACACAATACCACACGGAAGGTGATGGTAGTAAAGATCTATAAGAATGATGTTGATCAAGACAGCATTGTACGAGAAATCAGCCTTCTGCAAAAACTCTCACACCCCAACATAGTGAGGTAAGCCACTTATTAATGCTAATTAATAACTTGTCATAAACTGTAACTCTTATTTATTTTTTAGTCATCGTATATGTTAATTGTCTGCTGGTGTTTAAAATGTATCCCAGGATGCACCTCATGAAGCTCATGAAGAGTGTGCAGTGCTGCAATCTAGACAAATAGAGGCTTCTTTGAAGAAGCTAAAATATAAGATGGTTTTAATTGTTTTTTTGGTCATTTCAAAACTTCATTTTGTGTTATTTAGTAGTAGGTGTTTCCAAACCCCTGTAGAGATGTACATGCTAGATACATACAAGACTGTTTGTACAGGTTACAAGTCACACTAAGCTCTGTCCAGCACAGCGCTCTTAAACTGCTGTTAATCTTGCACTATGATGTGTGTTTGTCTTAGCAATCTCAGAATGGCTTTTTCCAGTGCGTTGCGGAAGGACAAAGCCATATTCAAAACTGCCTGTGCAGTGTTAATTTATCACAACTTTCCAGTTACTGCCAGCTGTCATCACCTCAGTACAGATGACAGTCATGTTAACCCATGAACAGAACTGCTGAATGTGACAGAAACCGCATGAGGTCACCATGACACACTGACATATTACATTTACTGCTTAACTAATTCATGGTTCTCTAATATGTTACTAAAAACATCAATTGAAAACCTGAACATCGTTTTAACATCAAATTGACCTAATTTTCAGTTTCTGCTCAATTGTTGGGCATTTGACAAATGACAGGGGCTTTGGACTGTATTTAGGCTGAACCTACTTGACAAGGCAGATTTAGGGAATGGCTCATAACCTCCCACATCTCTTTTTCCAGGTATCTGGGTATTTGTGTCAAAGAGGACAAGTTGTACCCAATTCTGGAGGTGAGATCTCTGTTTTCTCAGCCTCAAAACTAAAAAGTTTGTTCCGCAGTTTGAGTTTATTTTATGCATTAGACTGTACAATTGCACAGTTAGATTTTTGAAATATCATATAGATGTGATGCTTTGAAACTGTACACTTGATGGGCTCAACAATAAGAATTTTTCTGCTTTTCTTTTAAAATGTTTTATGTGTCAGAAAATATATTTTATATTTAGCAAAAGATAAAAAAATGTACTACCAATAAATAATTTCATGTGCACGTTTTATATAGACGTACACAATGAAATTAAATTGAAACATATGCTGTATTTTCATGTATATTAGTTACATAATACAACATTATATAAGAAATCAACTCCCTAAAATCAGTAGCAGAAATGAGTAATACGTTTAAAAATGTTGCCAACAACAGCTCTGTGTTTCATCTGCCAAGGAGCGAACAATTATGAGCCTTTACCAGGATTATTATTATTATTTTTTATTTTATTTTACAGTAAGGTTTCATTTGTTAACATTAACTAACAATAACTAATACTTCTACAGGATTTATTAATATTAGTCAAAATCAAAAGTTGAGCAGCTCCGGGCGGATGACGTATGAGGTCGGCATTGCGCATGCGCCGGTGAGTCTCGTGAAAACCAATATTTGTTAACAGGAGCAAAGGAAGCAAAGTTTATATCGGCTTATATCAAAATCCTCCAACATTCTTCTTTACAAATCCTTGTTTTGTACTTCTAATAAGTGACTGGTGTTTTGTTTTGATCTCTCCCCTGCGCTTCCGCATTCGTCACTTCTGAGCGGCGCATGCGCAAAGCCGACCTCATACGTCATCCGCCCGGAGCTGCTTCCGTGTAGGACTGTTGGCGCAAGCTACATTAAAGTGATTATTACGTTTTGAATATGGATATTTTTCTTACAAAAACGCATCGATTCGCTACAGGAGGCTTTTGTTCACCCCCCGGAGCCGTGTGAGACACTTTTTTTTAATGGATGGGCGCTTTATATTTAACTTCTTTTGGACTGATGCACGCAACACCCACTGAGTGGCATTACACAGCTTGAAAGATCGAAGACTATTTTTAATATAACTCCGACTGGATTTGTCTGAAAGAAGAAAGTCATATACACCTGATGACTTGAGGGTGAGTAATCTGTGGGCTAATTTTCATTTTTGGGTGAACTAACCCTTTACGATCGACTGGTTCCCTGAAACTGGTTTTGTTAAGTACTTGCATTTGGAACATTAATTAAGAGGGGGTGAAAGGGTTCACTTGCTGAATAGCATAAAATGTCACAGAACTACAAGATCTAAATATGATCTTCTACGGTCCGATTAAAACATTTATTGTATGTTTATCTATATGAAATCAACTGTCTAAAAATGTTCTATATGAAAAAAATGATTCATATATAATTTTAAAAAATTATTTGTGTCATTGAGATACTATTATAAGTTTTGTTCATATTTTGAATCATTTTTTATTTAAATTTTTTTGTTTTCATTTTAATTTTAGTTTTAGTGTTCTTGTAAATTTTTATTTCAGTATTTTAGTACAATGGCGCTTTGGCAAAAAAATACATATTTTACTTAATTTAACTCTCTTTTTATTTCAAGTAATGAAAATGTTGTTTATGGTTTTAATTAGATTTTAGTTTTATTTAACTATAATAACCCTGGACAACAGCAGCTCTAACTTTTCTAAGTGCAAAATTATGAACATATACCAGTATCGTATTTTTATCCAAGCACTTATTATTATTATATATATTTTTTTTTACAATTTCCTTATCATTATAATTATTATATATAATTACTAGAATGAAATTATTATAAGTGTATGGTTTTTTGTTGTTGTTGATTTTATGTTGAATCAAACACCCTTAGTGCTTTTCTTTCAAACCCACCCATTAGCTGCATAGCCAGAGGGTGTTGCAACACTTGGCATGTGCATGAGTTACTGTTCTAAATTTGGAGACTTCTAGACTCTGGGCTGTGCTTGGAGTTTTCTTAGTCCTATAATCATAGGTCAGTTTTTGGGATGGAGGCTTAGCTGAGGTTTCTAATTCAGTCCAGATGCAGAACTCACTGTTGTATCCATCAGCACTTTCTGCTCCAAGAGTCCCACTTGTCTTATGTAACGTCTCTGTTGTACCTGGATTCCCCCTGCTCTGGTCAGCCTCAATGTTTCCTCATTTGCCTTTCTTCTAAAATAACAGGCCATTTTTATTACACCCTCAATCATTTTCCTTTAAACTACTGAGTTTTCAGACTACGTGGTAATGTTTCTAGCCATGACACATCATCACTAGAGACATTCAAACTGGAAGCGAGGTATAACATTGCATATTGGTACCCCTGGAGTGATAGAGATGGAGGAGAGGAATTGTAGGCGGTCCGGACCCTTTGGCGAGGTACAGGGTCAGCTGAATAATTCATTAAACGGAGACGGTGATGATGAGAAAGTCTTTCATTTGAGCCTGGGAGTTCTGCTTCAGCCGCCAGGCACATCATCTCCAAAGAACATTACAGACATGCTACAGATACTAAACCACAAAATTGCTAACATGCATCTTATTTATGCTTGTATTGTATTTGTCTTTATCTGTATTGCATTTAGATGCTTATTAATTCCACAGTTTACATTCACACAAAAAGTCCACAAACAAGTCAGTCCACACAGCTTCAAACTTTGAATTTGGTTCGTGTTCATTTGGAAACTGTAATATTAATGTCTGCCATATGAAGGTGTTATATGGTACTAGACAAGTTCAGATTTCGGAAATGCTATGTAAGAGTTTTTGTGGGTGAATGAGTTTAGAAACTTTCTGCTGGTTTTTGGCGCCGCCTTTTGGCAGAGAAGGACAGCACATTCACTTAAAATAATTTTGTAGTGTTTTTTTGCATGTCTGTATCTGGTATATTTGAATGAATTATATGACATTATTTAAAAAGAAAGAAAGATTAACAGTAAATAATTGCAGATAACATGCAATTATTTATTAGCGAAAATGAAGCGTATATACAGAACAGTTTAAAAGTTTTGAGATCAATTAGATTTTTTTTAAATAAATTAATACTTTAATAAATTAGAAATATTTTTGAGCTGCAAATAAGCATATTGGAAAGATTTCTGAAAGATCATGTGACACTGAAGAATGGAGTAATGGCTGTAATAATATTTCACAATATTACTTTTTTACTTTATTATATTTTACTGCATTATATTTTACAGTCCCAAGAGTGAGAATAAACCACTAGTAATAGTACTAAAATAGACTAAAAAGAGACTAAAAATACTAATTTTGCATCAAAACATCTTTGTGTATTTGTGTCTCCAAAAGAATTGTCTAATAAGGGTAACAGCGAGAGGCAGAGAAGCTCTGGTTACTGATTTTGGTTTGGCTCGAGAGGTGGTTGAACTTCCTGCAAAGGACAGAAAGCTTTCACTTGTGGGCTCTGCTTTCTGGATGGCCCCTGAGATGCTGCGCGGGGAGCCCTACGACCGCAAGGTAATGGCTCAAAAATACCAGAGCAAGATGTGAAATGTTGGTCTTATGTACGTGATGTTCTAAAGCATTTTCTAGTTCTCACCTTCTGATTTTGCTTTATTTAACGCTAGGTGGATGTGTTCTCTTTTGGAATTGTTTTGTGTGAAATTCTGGCTAGGATCCCAGCAGACCCAGAAATCCTTCCAAGAACACAGGTGATCAGAAATAGAATTATTGACACTTTGGAAATGCCAGAAAATATTACATCCAGTATCAATTTTTTACAAAACAAAAAAACCTACTGTCTACCTACACATTTATGATTGTGTGTGTTGCAGGACTACGGCCTGGACGTTTCAGCATTTGGGAAAATGGTCAGTGAGTGTCCTCAGCGGCTTTTAGAGTTGGCAGCCAGCTGCTGTCTGGTAAGTGACCTTGTTACCTTTCGTGTATATCAAATGAACACACATTTCCTCTGTCAGTTATGCCTAAAAACTAACAAACCCTTTGAAAAAGGAAGTAAAGTGTTACCATTGACTGTTGTTGTTTCTCATGCAGATAGAGGCTTTCCGAAGACCCTCTTTCTCAGAGCTTCAAGACGAGTTGGGTGAAATCGCTGAGACTTTGGAGGCTCCTCACAATGATCTCACCACAGGCTGATCTGCGGCACATCCTCTGGTATCCCATCAGCCCTGCAAATGGACACAAGCAGCTGGAGTTCTGTACATAGATTTAAGCACAATGACAAATGCAGCAGAACTGCAGATTTCTCTCTGGGCTGTTTGCTTTGAAAGAGCAAATCAAGGAAAAGGTCGCTATTTATTATGAAGTAACTAGATGGCCTACAGTTCAACTCCGCACAGCTGTACATACTATATATTGCACAGTATATATTAATAGTATACCAAGAGAAATATTGTATCAGGTTCCAGCTAAAGTGTTTTCATTATTTCAAAGCTACAGATTTTCAAACCTATTGTTATTCTTGTTTTGTATATCAATCATTTTATATTGGAAAAACAACCCTAAAATAGGTTTTGAGGCTTCAGATAACCATTGAGAAAAGGACTAACTTGGGGGTCACAAGTTTTAAATAACCAAATAATATTTTCATAGGCTTCAGTATATCGATACTTGATTACATTTGTACAAGAGAAATTTATTTATTTTGGTACCAACTGCCCAAATAGGAAAAAAGTGCAAAAAAGACTTTTTTGAAAAGCCACATATTTGAAAAATTAGTGTACTTTTCGTTATTTGAAAAGCAATTTATACAGGAGCAAGCACTCAACTCATCACTTGTGGTTTTGCCTCCACTGAGCTGAGCTGAGCTGCTGATCTTTGGAAATTCTCCATAAGACCACCGCAGGATGAAGCCCGTTTCCTGCCTGCAATGTAACGATGTTGCTTCTGCAGTGTTCTCATTGTGGATTGTGCTTTGATTGTGGAGTGTTTGTGAAAGCAGTTTTTCTTTTCAGCATTCAAAAGCTTAAATGTTTCATGTTTTAACACTTTTTGTCCATTTTGGTGTACTTGTTTTCCATGTGTTGTGCATTTCAGTACTCACCATGTATCAGAAGAGCAAGATGGCACCAGTCCGACTCCAATAAACAGTGACACCAAACAGTATCTCTGGACATATTATTGGCTGTAACTGAATTAGAAATGTGAGATTAAATGTTTAAGACCATCCTGCTGTAGTATTCTGAAAATGTGTGCAACTTGAGCAAAAACGAACACTCTGTAATACTGAAATCAATATTCCTCTCTAATTTCAAATGCGTAACTTGGCACTATTGATTTGTATTTGTTTTTAATATTTATATGTAAGTTCTGCTTAGATGTTATTTCAGTTTCGTTAGGCTCTAGTGAATTGCATGTTGAACATCGTTCAAGTTATCTTGAACAAAATCTACATTCTGTGCCTCAAAGAGGACGCTTGAGTTAGATCTTTTGGTGAGAACTATGTCATGCTAACCTCATATCTCTGAACCAAGCCTGATGTCTGTGTAGTCTGAATCCTGTGGTTTGTAGTGTTTTTGTAATACAGTACATCATGATATAAAAAGAGAAAAGGAAGCGAAGTGAATGGTGTGTATTTTTCAAATAAAGCCATTGAAAATCTACTGTTCTTTGCACAGGAACTGCACTATTAGCATCAGGATTTTATAAACTGCTTCTGCTTGATAGAAGTTGACGTATGATAAGAAACATTTGTGTAACTATCATATCAAAATGCACTTACTTTCATGTCTGGTTACCTGGCAACTTTGTCTACTGTGTGGACTCTTAAGAGTCGGGCTTCTTTGTGGCGCCTGCTATCAAACCACTTGATGCAAATTATTTGAATAATCATGAATGACAAAGTGTATCATGGGATTATTCTCTTTATGTGATCCTGGGCTATTGAATTAATAACTCAGGTGAAAGGTGACACGTTTAAAACTGCCCTGGACTTTACATCAGATTAAACAAACCTTAAGAGTCTGAACAGACTTTATAATGGAAATTGGTTCTGCACATTCTTAAGTTCCTTTAGAAATCACTGTTTGACTGTCGTATCATTGCTTGTTTTCCCTCAGGGATCGATTTTATACACCCCTTGATTTGTTCTTGCTTGACCTGAAAACAAAATGGAACAATTTAACTGGTGCTCTTAGTGTTTATACAACGGCCTGTTTGTTTCCAGCTGTACCAAGACACTGAATAGATGTAAATGTAAAAAATAGATGTAGATGTAAAAAAAGGTGACATGTAAATGAATAATTAAACACTGGCTTTTCTTCTGGTTTCTGGCGGTGAGCTGTAGAGTGTTCCAAATCAGACACTTATGAGGCTCCATAAAAAAGAATGGAGACGTATTTATAAAGCAGGCTCTGCTACCTTATTGCCGAAAACAGTAGTGACGCAATCTGTCCATTAGATGGCAGTGTCTTGTATGATTTATACTTAGCTGCACTGAAATACAGCAGGTTACTATTGTAGTGCAGTTAAAACTCGTTTTAGTGGCACAGAATTTTTTTTCTTTCATTAAAATAAATCAATAAATGCGGTTCCTTTGAACTATTAATCAAACAATCCTGAAAAATTGATGCTTTCTGCAAAAATAGAAACAATATTGAAATAGCAAAAAAAAAAAAAAATCGAATGATTTCTGAAGGATCATGTGACTAAAGAATGGCTGCTAAATATCTTTGCCACCATAGGAATAACTTACATCTAATATATCTTAAAATAGTTATTTTACATTTTAATGACATTTGACAAATTTACTGTTTCTACTGTATTTTCTATCAAATAAAATGAACGTAAGAGACTTTTTTCAACAAAAAAAAAAAACTTTGATAGGTAGTGTACATGGATCAGTGTACAGCCTTGCTCCATTTGCTTTATATTTTGGACTATACTATTTTCTTACTGTAAAATAGAACCGTCTCATCCCCAGGAGCCCAGTTTGAAAACACCCGGTCTAGCAGACTCTTTTCATCTTTTCTACAGTACATTCATTTCCGGTAGAGTCTCTGTGAGGCTGAATACACTGGAAGCAGGAGTATGATCAATGTAACGCTCTGGTTACTGGTTCACCTTTACCTGAGACAGAAAACTGTGTTAACAGCACAGATCTCGCACCAATTCAACTATTATTATTAACAATAACAGTTCGTGCATAAGGGCTCGCAAGATTTCAAGATCCCTGGTAGCCTTTCGGGCAGGCATTCTTCAGAGTTTGGTCAACCAAAATGAATTAATTAGCTCGAATAAAAAAGATATCGGCTGAACTTCACAGTGAACAAATCAGCATGATTGAAAACCTCAGTGATTGTATTTTTTCTTCAAATAACAAGTCAAGAGAGTAGGGGTGCAACGGATCACAAAACACATGGCTCAGATCATGGTTTTGAGTCACAGATCTTTTTTGGTGAGCAATAAATAAATAAATAAATGTTTAACTACTTAAGTGTCACTAGCCCACCTGTGGGCCCACTGGGGCTCTTTTTTTCCGTGGTCTCCCCCCCCCCACCCATCACATATTTTAGTAAGCATCAGAAATTATATATAATTTGAAAGCTTAAAACCTCAAAATTCATACTGTGAAAACCATTGTTAAACCGGATATTGCTTTACCATGGAAATGGTACTTTGAATCTTTTGGCGGTCTCCTCCCCCTTAGTGGGCGGTGTCAAGTGTCATATTACAAAATGTATTATGGTCTTTTAGAATAAAAACTTTTTATAATCTTGACAAAATACATATCATTGGAAATTTTGTGATGTGCGTAACATTGACAGAAAAAATTTGACATTTGTGACAGAAAAATGCATTAAAAAATTAAATGGAGTTTGAGTCATTGGCTTGTTTAGTTAACACTCGAAGGTGATTGGGCTCTCGGGCGAGATCCCAATTCGTCAGTCACTGACGTAACGTTGAACGTGACTGACTGAATGGGAACCTCAATTTTTTATATCACCTTCAAATATCTTATTTAGACATATGGCTTTAATTTGATAGCAATTTTGGATTTAAAAATACTTTGCAAAATATTTATTTTATATCAAATTAAATAAAATTAGTACACTGCAAAATTAGTAAAGCTACCATTAACAGAATTACCATTAGGCTACACATTACATTACATACAAGTAGAAGGCTTAATGAATCTCACCACTTTAGCAGACAACACGTGCAAGTACAAATCTTTCATATGGGACACACTCATACTTTCCAGAAATGTCATAAGACCTTGAAGGCAATAATCAAGCATTTTATGAGATGTGCTCATCTACTTCGCGTGCTCATCTACTATGAGTTTAATGTTGTGTGTCCTCCTGGAGTGATAGCAGTCTGATGTTCGTTCAGCCCTGCTGCCTCTGACCTTCTTACAACCCCCCACCCGAACAAACACATCTACAGGACACTGGATCCTCGGTGGGGTTCACGCGCTTCCCACAGCCTGTTATGAGAGTCATGAGCGATGGAAACCATTCAAATGTCAGAGCTCTTGCCATAGTGTGCATAACACAACATAACATAACACGCTAACACACAAACATATGGAATAAATATTATTTTAAGGCACCACAGAGAATAGTTTGTGGGTTATGAGTAATACACACTTTAATATCCTACCGTAAAAAGGTTTATTGTGCTCGGAAGAGGTTTCTGCTTCAGTAAGGTGCAGCTACATATTCTCAGCAGAATAAAATGAATTTATAAGGTTAATGGAGTGTGAAATTTAGGACAGGGAAGTGACTAAAGGACGGGTCACAAAGAAGCAACAAATCTGAGGAGTTTAGTGCACATCCCTGATATACTAGCCACGGTATGAGTCAACAGTACTTTTGCAAAATATAACTTCACATATAAACATTCACATAAACATGAGTAAGTGTAATCCATTAGGCTAATAAGAACATGAAATAATCGAAACATGAATTTCATCATGATGAGACATGTTTACAGCAGCTATAAAGTGTAGTAAACATCAAATCATTGATGTGACCCTGGACCACAAAACCAGGCATAAGGGTCAAGTTTTGGAAATTGAGATTTATACATTATCTATGGCTGCTGAAAATCTTTGCCATCATAGGAAAAACTTACATCTAATATATATTAAAAGAGTTATTTTAAATTTTAATGAAATCTAAATTTTAATGAAACCAGGCATAAGGGTCAATTTTTTGAAATTGAGATGTATACATCATCAATGGCTGCAAATCATTGATGTGACCCTGGACCACAAAACCAGGCATAAGGGTCAATTTTTCGAAATTGAGATTTATACATAATCTGAAACGATGTATAATATTTGGCTATATTTGGATGAGATACAACTATTTGAAAATCTGGAATCTAAGGGTGCAAAAAAATCTAAACATTGAGAAAATTGCCTTTAAAGGGGTCATCAGATGCAAAATTACCTTTACAAGTTGTTTGAACATAAATGTGTGTTGGAAATGTGTGTACACATCCATCCTATAATGATAAAAATCCACCCAGTGTTTTTTTTAAAAATCCTTATTTTAAAATCCCCTTTCTCAAATCAGGCTGTTCTGAGATTCATGTCAGAACGACGTAGTTCTGCACAGGCCCCTCCCACGATAGTTGATTGACACTAGCGTCTTACCGTAGACCCGCCCTGAGTGAGCTGTCATCAGTCCGCCATTGTGCCAATCCGGTGCAGGGGAAGTCAAGAACGTCTCCGATTAAGCGATTGAGGTGTTTTGTTGTTGGATGTAATAATGAATATAGCAGTCGTCATTTACTCCCGACATCTGAGCTGCTGAAGACGCAGAGGATTAACATTACTTTCTTTTTGATGGGAATGCGCCGAGCCCAATCTGCCTAAATTCATCTATGTTCGCGTGAATCATTCGTGATCCAGCTTCATCAACAGAAGAAGTGAGTATAAGGGTTTTTTATGAATCTTTGCAAATCGCCTTTCCTAATAACGTGCTAGTTATGCTGGGTACACACCACAAAATAATCGGGCTGATTTTGGGCCGATTTCTCCCCTTCCAACAATCCTAGGTAATGTCCCGTTTATCTCGGTGGTTCTAAAGATTATCTTATCAGATTTTCTGTGGTGTGAGGTGTGTTAAGAGTAGGGATGCTCCGAT